TTTGTTTAAATGAATGGAAATTACACGAATACAAAAAAGCATGCTTTTTATTTTTTTATCAAATACTCTTACTACGAAGGCAACAAAACGAAGACAAAACTACACTTAGTACAGTTTTACTGAGATATTTGATTATTACCAAACATCAATCATCATTAAAAAAGTCAATACTAAAAATACAAGTAAATAAAATATTATTTCTCATTGCCACTCGAAAAAGGGATTTCATTCAGCGATAACAGTGAACAAACTATTCATTTAATTACTGAGTGAATAAAAAAATTTGAACAAACAGAAGTTATGCAAATGAAACATATAAAGTTACAATAATTAGTAATAATCATAATTAATCTTTATTGTCATTTCCAAAACGCAACCAATGGGTACTATAAATATATTATTTATTTTCTCACAATAGTAAAAAAACTTAATCCTTGTATCCTTTGCTCCACTCAGGATTCCTATCTAGAATCGTTCGTTGCTACAGTAGGGATCCATCTTAGCACTTCAAATTAACTTTATTTTATATTTGCATTTATTGTATAATCAATAATTGCATATTAAAGTATCAATTTGGTAAAGCGCGCTATACTGAACTTCGCCGCTTCAATGTCTCGCTCGTGCGACTCGGACACGCTCGCGGTCATATTTACCTAAACTAGAGCGGCGCAATTTTGTAAAAGGGCTCTTAACATAGGCTAAAAGACCATGTAATCTTTATGATAAACTATATTTTGTAACCATAATGAAAAAAAATCGTCGGGCCGGAATCGTACTCATTTTCGTCCTTAGTGTGTAGAACAACCCTTAAATTATTTTTTTCATAATATTTACTGTTACTTCGTCACTATAATTATGCATACCCAAAAAAATGACTGATCGTCATTAGGTAAAATTTCATAAGAGTGATTAAATCATATTTTTTTAATGAAGGTGTACTGGGGGTAGGCAAGCTGATAATAGGGAAGAAATCCTTAATTTTAGATGATTTTTCTGGTGCTATCGGGTAAAATTCATATTGCATTGCATGTTTAGCAACTTTTTAATTTTTAGTTTTATTCAATTTGTATAATGTCTTATTTCAGTAATGGAAATAAATATTCTAAGATAATGTTAGCGGTTAATTCTACTTCGTAACTACGGAAGCTGAAGTCCACATAATGTCAAATTGTGATTAAGCATTGGCCCTGCTTTTTTATAGTGCTTTAAAATTTAATATTTCCACAATACCTATACCTAAACTAAAGCCGAAAGTGATTTACTGTGCAAACATCACAGCTAGCATTGCATAACAGATGCAAAGCCGAGATAACCTCAAAATTCATCCGCGTAATAAAGTTAATAATGAGCAGATTAGCATAACGGAGTTTTATTGCATTACGCTACATTGCTATGTGGCATTGTCGTGAGTTATTGAAATTGGAAAGCACATTGTTACAAATATTAAAACTAGTAATAAAAATGCTACTGTGCGATTCTTTGCTATATTTCTAAATGTAGGCATTACAATATTGACACTTTGTACCACGGCGTAAGAATATTTTCTTTATAATTTATGATATTTTGAATCAGACGAAGAAAAATCCTTCGTTTTTCATATTTGATAAAAGCTAATGTTATCAGTCTTTTTTGCACCCCTAATTGCAACCGTTTAAAGAGTAAAAAATGGAATGAATAGATCCTAACTAACTATAAAGCAACCTCCCCATTTTGCTGCAGGATTATCATAAAGTCAAGCAAATTAGTGAAAGTGAACTTAATTTCATACTCCATAGGGTAACCAGCCTATTGTACCACCTAGGAAATACAAATAAAATCCGTTTTGTAATGAGAAAGCCGTCCAATGGGCACATCGTAGCTATAACAATCTATCATACATCCTATGCAATTAAGTAGAGATTTCTATACAAATATTTGCTACGCTACTGGTGTTCAGTTCAATTATGTCTACAATTCACAACTAAGAATGCGTATCAATAATTATGTTGATTAGTTAATCGCGTGTGCTGGAACTAAACATTTGTATTTCTCATTGCAGTAAGCGATATTAATATGCCTTTTAGTCATTCAGTTGTCAACTGAGTTTATTGTCAATTACTTACAATAATTAGACGCTGCTTACTTTTTAATTATTTATTTTCAGGCACGCAATAAAATTATTTCCGTATTAGTTCTCTATATTGGCGAAAAAAGGACCATAATGCGAGACACAAAAAAACTTTTTAACAAAAAAATTAAACCACCGAAAAACTGAAAAAGAAAAAATAATAAATATTTTTTTTATAGTCAAATTAATATTTGGAGTCGGTGCTGCGCCAACCCAAGTGGTAAATGGGAACTCAGTCCTTTCAGATATGCATATATATGAATTTGAGTAAAAATAAAAAATGTTTAATATTTTTTGGGTGTCGGCAATAAAATATTTTTGTTAAAAAGGTTTTATTTATAATTTTTTTATGGCTATAATTTTTGTAATATACGTACAACTCAGTATCAAAATCTATGAGGGTTCCCTCAGCACCCCTATTTTCCCACCCTTAGGGTAGGATTTTCGTTTCTAAATTTATTTCGGACCAACTTCGAGGTATAAAACCCTATCCAATAAAAAAAAAAACATCTAAATCGGACTACTCTGTAAAAGTTATGCGTGATCATGCATAAAAAATATACCTCCTCCGTTTATTTCGTCATATATTTAATATATTTTATTTAGGGTTGACAAAACATCAATTGTACAATTAATAAAAAAGATGCAACAGATCAATGTAAAAAAATCTTGGTTTCACTTTTCATACTCACTGACATGAAATAAATTGTGGTAATTTAGTAGTAATAACTCTAACAAGAAAAGTTTTAATTCTCGGGGTTACACCTCGACAACAGAAGAAATAGCAATTATTGTGATATTTTTATTTTTTTTAAGCATGATACATCGAGCAATTACATTCTTAAAAAAAATAATAATTCAAATGTTTAATACTTGTAAAGGTGTTAATTTGATATTGTGGGTTACCCACAATGCGAAGAGATGGCGCTGTCATGCAGATTAAGAAAGGCTAGAAAGTCACAAATAGAAATTAAAAACAAAATATATCCGTCATGATTGACATAAAATCTTGACAATTGATATTGGCATGAGAACTATGCTCCTAAAATATTAACTTGCATAAAAAACTATTACTATTTTTAACTTTTAGTAGTAAAGACTGAGTAACGGTAACAAAAATTAAAAATTCAACTTGAGTAGTTCCTTAAAAAAACTATTATTTTTACAATATAATTTATTGAAAACGGTCACGATACTTTTATATTTCACTATATCAATTATATTATAGTATTGGCAACTGCGCGAACGAGAATGTCTTCCAAAAATTTTGACACTTTCGAGAGCGTTATTCCTTTCTTTTTAATCTAGCAGAAAGTATACCTTAAGTGCTTTCGTAAGGTTTACACTATTTCTTTACAAAATAACAAGTAAGCATTTCTGTTAAGGTTAGGTATATAACTTCCTTGGGTGACACACATTTCATTTTTACCGCTGCCAGCCTTACATAAGCAACATCCTATTTTGTGCGTCGTAAATTAACACTATCAACAAAGTACTTCTATCTTGTTGAAATCAAAGAAAAAACTTCACAATGATAGACGAATAATGCGTTTTGATTCCTGTAGTTGCTGACACTGTAGTACACTAGTTCTATAATAGATGGCGCTAGTTGAAAATGTGTGAAACTCGGACTGAACTCTCTTACTTTAGTACTAACTGATTAGATTACTATTATTAATGGTGGTTGTTTGCAATTAAAAATGGACATGTACGAGTGCTAAACATTATCAAGGTAAACGCTCAGCGCCTTGTCCATGGAATATCTACCATATTGGTTAAGCTTTACAGATTATATTAACTTTACATCTCAAAATGAAATAGAATTTATTCAAATTGACTTTTTCTTTCCATCCGTTCAGGAAATATTTTTGTTGATAAAAAGAAGAGCAGGCATATAGACAAATTAAATCTATCATTTATCCAACTCACTTGCAACTCAGCATCGACAGCAGAGTCGAAGGTCTGCCGCAACCGGGCCTCGCCTCGGACGTTATATACGTTATTCAGATTGAATTTTTCCTTTCATCCGTTCAGGAAATCTTGATGTAAAGATAGTAACAATAAGAACAGGAGCAAGACTACAGTCATTCTTTATAGATATTCTACGGTACGATTATTCGACGACCTCCGTGGCCGAGTGGTTTATACGCCGGCCTTCATGACTTCGCCGACTCGAGAGGTCCCGGGTTCGAATCCCGGTGGGGGCAGATGTTTGTGTGATGAATACGAGCATTTGTACTCCAGTCATGGATGTTTAATATGTATTTCATATAAATATACTTATATATGTATTCTATCCGTTACCCTAGTATCCCATAACACAAGCCTTTACAGTGCTTACTTTGGGGCTAGGCTAATTGGTATGAGTGTTGGAAATATTTATTTATTTATTTATTTACTCACCTGCAACTCATCGTCGACCGCCGAGGCGAAAATTTCCCGTAATCGGACCTCGCCTCAAGAGTTTATACGTTATTCAGATTTAATTTTTAGTTCCATCCGTTCAGGAAATCTTTTTGTAACGATATAATAAAAACAGGCGCAGGAATAATAGTTATCTAAATTTATATCTATATATAGAAAAATCACTGCTGTCCGTTAGTCTCGCTAAAACTCGAGAACGGCTGGGCCGATTTAGCTGATTTTGGTTTTGAAATGTTTGTCGTAGTCCAGGGAAGGTTTAAAAGATAAGAAAATATGGAAAAATTGCGATTGATATTAAAAACAACGATTTCAATTTCCGATATAAATTGTTCTACCGACTTCCCTGTCATTAATGCGACATTACCAATCAAAATTTTCAGCCATTGCAGCGAAGGGAGTTTGAATGTCGTTAGGTTAGGTAATATGAAGTATTCCGGATCATCTAGTTCTTTATAGATATCCAATTCACCTGCAATTCATCGTCGACCGCCGAGTCGAAGGTCTCCCGTAATCGGGCCTCGCCTCGCGCGTCCGCTTTAGCTGCCAATTGCTTCTCTCTTAGTGATGTTCTTCGCACAGATCGTACTCTGCAATAACAACATGTGTTAATAAAGTAGTAAGGGAGTCATAGAGCGATTTAACAAATGTCACGATTTCATCCATCTTTTTTTTAAGATTTACGACATGGGCTAACAGAAAATAATTAGAAATTTGGATAAAAAAATTAAGCTGCAGCCGGGTTTTTAGGCTATATTTATATTTTAATTGTTATAACTCGAGACAACCTGACTTCGCTCGCATTATATTTATATTTTTAGTATGCGCGCTATCGGTGCAAATTATACGAAATATCGCAATTCGGACCGCAGCGAATGTAATATCACTTTGACAGGAAGTTTACAAGTTTGTGACGTCATTTTAGGTTCCACCAATCCCAGGCATTTTCGATCACGTGACCATAGAACAAAATAATAATTTCTATTCAATGACTTTCCAGAAAAAATATTAATTTATTTGGTCTCTCAGAATGGTAAAATTACTGGTAATATTCATATTAAACACAGATGCCAACAATTGGTACTTTATTTTTTATATTGCTAAAAATAGCCTATGGGGGAATTATTATTAGTATTTGTCTAGTAAGTACCTGCTAGTACTAGCTGTGGAGGACGATCTTCTTGCAGTAGCTGCTCGTTCTGTGTGCGCATGCGCATGTAAAGCTCTCCTTCTGCGTTCTTCTTGTTCTACCGCTAATCGTAGGATGCGTGCACGCATTTCACCCTCCTCACAGATGTCTACGGCAAATTATAATAAAATTGTCAATCTTAAAAAAAATAACATCTTTATGGCCGCATTAAGAGAAATCAATTAAGTTTTGAGTTACACTTAAGTTGATACCGGTGTCATTCTGTAAATAATCGAGTTTTAAATTTCCCTCCTTTTCACTCTGTATAGAATATGGACAAGGATACACTGTTGTCAAATTTAAGGTTTAGAGAATCATACAAGAATCGACACCATTGTCACTTTCTTTACTATAAAAAAAGAATGCAAGAACACTTGACTCATTGAAGCATTATATTAATTGGTCGTTTCATGTCTATCTCTTAGGGATAACCAACAATAATCAATTTTTACTAATTACTTTTTACGAGAAATAATTTCTTATTTACGAAGCGATTTAAAGCAATACAACATTATTTCTTATCCAATTAAGTGTGTGAACAATAAAGTGACCTTAAATACATTGTGCATTTAATATAGATCAATATGGCCCTTTACAACATGTAATTTAAATGATTTTTTTCCAAGATATTACACATTTAAAATGCAGGAACAAAGCGGTTCCGGCGGTACCGGACGGGGGGGCCGGCGGCACGTGTCTATGTTGCTCTTTCAAGAATAACCTCCAAAGAAAACCGATTTGTATTGTCAAATGATAAAAAAGCTGTGAACGATGTATATTAAGACATTCTGTAGTATATTTAGTATCAGCATTACTCTTTTGGAAAGCCGGGGCGAGTCGCTAGTACATAAAAAATGTCAATATTTCACAAATAAAAGAAGTATAATTGACCTGCTGGCGTCTCGTCATGCTTGTTCCTCACGTTGAGATCAGCACCATATTGCACAAGTATCTCTAACACCTCTAACTGAAACAAAACACTACGATTAATTAAATTATTGAGAGCCGTTCTTTATAAACTTTACTAAAGAACAGAGCAGCTAAAACTTTTTGAATGAATAAATAAAGTCAATTGTTTCAATAATGAATCTTCAGTAAAGGGTTAGGTTTATTAAAGCTAGTTGATCAGATATTTTTAGTAGAGCTGTAATCAATCTCCAGTGAGAGATAGACCTGGTAGAGCTAGTTGCCCAGATATTTCTGTTAATTAATTCAAAACGACATCTGCTCCTGAGAAATAAATGCAAAAAAAACTAATCTTTTACTGTAGACTGATTATTGGAACTGCCCGTTAGTGGCAATTATTATTAATATCAATCGGTAGATGACAACTGACCATGAACCAAGAAAGCCTGGTGCCCTAAGTGTTAAAATGCATTACAATGACCTCTTTATCTATGCAGCAGTAACAGCTTTAATTAAAGATATACTTAAATGTAATGCGTGTAATACGATTTTAAAAACTATGCTTAGTTAGTGATGTGCGTGAAAACCTAAGAAACAAATATGCTTAGTTTAGTCAAATTGCAATTACCTAGCAAGCCTGAACCCTACTCTCTATAACTACCACTATATTTTTTTCCTATAACAAAATCCTAATTTTATTATTCGTCCAGTTTCTTATTAATTGGAAGTTATGGACTTGACGACCTCAGTAGCCGAGTGGTTTGTAAGGTTTTAAGTTATCCCCTACTCGAGTGAGGGCAGATGTTTGTGTGATGAATACGAGCACTTGTACAACATTCATGGATGTTTAATATGCATTTCTATATAAATATGTATTCTATCCGTAACCCTAGTATCCCATAACACAAGCCTACAGAGCTACTTTGGGGCTAGGCTAATTGGTGGTGTGTTGGAAATATTATTATTATGGATTGACCTCTAATTCGAGCGCAAACTTGTGCTGTACCTGCTTCTCCAATAGGTTAATTGAGAACTATACGTAATAATAATAATAAAACTGCTTTAACTTCTCCATAACCACTTTTGTGCAGGGTACAAAACATTGTTAACAATAACAGTAAGTGCAATATTAGTAACAATATTTTATATTAAACTTTATTTCAAGAATAAAAAATTGATTCTGACGAAGCAGCCTGTAAAGGCTGCGAAACGTCAATAAATAAATAAATTTTCGTGCATTAACCCGTAAAAAACTAGTTTGGCAACCTGTAAAGGCTGCGAAACGTCAATAAATAAATAAAGTTTGAAAAACTAGTTTTATTTAATGAGTGATGTGCGTGAAAACCTAAGAAACAAATATTTTATACTTATGTTATAAGTCGCGACACGAAACTCTGGCGCTGACCGTTATTGCGCAGAAGTAAAAATTAAGATGTGTTGGGGGGAAATGAGGTGCGCGGGTGGGTGTGCGTTGCGCCGATTGGCTCTCCATTCGTACCCATGCGCAGCTATCCCCTCCGCGTTCAGTTCAGCGCTAGAGTTACGTGCATAAAGGTATAAGAATAGAGTAGAGGAGATATAGAGTCTACTACAAATGGAAGTGTCCCTCTAATAGAAAAAGAAAGATGAGAGACCGCTAGCTTTCTCTCTCTAATCGCGCATGCGCATTGGCAACCGTAAGCATCTTACTATTTCGATGTGATGCCATATTATCGTAGAGGTTAGCTTGTTTTGGTTTGTTTGGTACATAGAAGTGTGATATTGTCACAAACGCTCTCGAAACGGAACCGCGAAAGTGCTAGAGATCGAATGTGCCAGAGCACCGCGGGTCGCGATAGAGGTCGAGTACGCATTACTCGCTCATTCTAAAATGAGCCTTATGCAGTGCGGCGTAAGGGAGAAAGTGCAACGACATCTGCATAAGTAGATACTTTGTACTCGCGGGTGCTAGCTAATTCTCAATTCAACAGGTACTTTCTAGAATACGTCGATCGGCGTATATAAGCGCGATTGGCGCCGCTTAGAGACAGTTGAGTTTCAACAGCGATTTCGGAGCCAATTCAAAGGCGATCCAAATGCAACCAAAGTGTTCAAGTGAGATTGTTTAGAGACTTGTATAGTGAAATACAGTGTTAAGTGGGTGTTTTGTAATTAACATTGTGTGTTAATTGTGTGAACTGTGTCGTGAATAAAGAACTGTCAAGCGTGAACTGGCATATAATTTCGAACCCCATCCCGACACGTAACAAAATTTTGAGATTTATGTTGAATTATGACTATTATCGGAGTAGTTAAGTTTAATAGTTTGAATGTACTTTTTACTGCTTGTTTGAGATCACACGACTGCGCATGCGTCACAAGAGAGAGGGATAGCTAGCGGTCTCTCATCTTCTTTCTCTTTCTCCTAGACGGACACTTTTAGAGTCGCCTTCCCCACTTTATTCTTATACCTCTTTGGTTACTTGCCGCAACCTGTACTCACCTAATCTATAAATAAACATAAACACGATCGGTCATCGCTTGTCTTTTCTTAACACGATAAAATAGCTCTTTTCTCTTACTATCAATGATTTAGACTTCAGACACCGCTTAATGTGACTACCATCTTCATATGTGGTGATAAGATTAAGCAGACAAACAAGAAGTAGTAGTTAGATACTTGAAACCTTAAATAATAATAATACATATTTCTAACACACACGCCCTAGCCTAGCCTAGCCCTAAAGTTAGCACTGTAAGACTTGTGCTATGGGATACTAGAGAAATTAATATAATATATATATATATATATATATTGATAGATAAATAAGTATGTTTTTATTTAGAAATACAAATAAACATCTATGGCTTAGGTACAAATGCTCGTATTAATCATACAAACATTTTCCCAACCAGGACTTCAACCCGGGAACCGCTAAAAAACCGGCATACAGACCACTAGAGTCACGGAGGTTGTTAAATGAAAATGTTTATGGATGTATCAATATTACTATATTTCTTTTTTACTATAGCAGTGGCCACGAGGCAACGATAGAATATAATAATAGCTTTACAAACATAACTCTAAACTTCTCTAGTAACCCAATGGCATTGACAACAAATATGAATAAAAATATTTTTATTCAAACTGTATGCATAATGCATGGAAACTAAGTTTTCGAATAGTCGTAATAATTTATTTCTATGCCATTGGGCTACTTATTTTCCTACCAACCAGGGACTCCTGGCTGCGGCGTAAAACAGATATCACAAAATCTACAACATTTATTAAACTGTGTCACAGCATTCCAAAGGAGGTCTTGAATGTATATATTAAACTGTGTCACAGCATTCCAAAGGAGGTCTTGAATGTATATATTATGTCACATGTTGCTTCTAAAAGGACTTGAATGGATATAATATATTACGTACCTAGTTTTTACGTATCTCTTTGTTACGCTTTTGCACTTACGCAATAACGTCGTGATATACCATAATAAGCTGCACGAGAAGATGTAAATCACGTAAACAAACATTTTCTACCTAATAACATACATACATAGTGACAACAACTGTCAATTATGAGTAAACCAAATACAATTTACTTATCTAGAATAATATAAGTACGGTTAATTCGAACATTGGGGTCATTATAATTACTCGGAATATACTTTTGCAATATATTACGTTGTCACTCCATGTTTTGTGATTCAGGGAGGTCGATTGTAAACATTTGATTTACTCCGAATAACATCATTTTTACAGCTTATTACGGCACAATCAGACATAAAAAATGCAATAGACGTCCGATGTAATGCGAAGAAATAAAATATCATTAAAGGGAGGCACTTTGCTCACTCTTATCGAATGTGTTTAACACGCGAAGTAGTGCCATTCAAACTGAATGGCGGCTGTGAAGTTAGCGCAAGTCGTGGCGGAGAAAACGAAATGTACAGTGCGACCAAGATCTTTATGAATGTGGCGAAAATTGGTACTAACGCCGCAGTCTTTGTAAACGTCATATTTTGTATGTCATTTACGGTCATTTATGTAGACACTGGCGGCCTCCCTGGACTGTCAATCACGTTTATAAAGATTTTGGTGGAACTGTAGGGTAAGCCGGCGCGTGCGCAACGTCACTGAATTTGAATCTGTTCATAGCTCGCTGCAAACTTCACACCCACCATAAAGTTGAATCTTACTATACCCTTGCGTCTACAATTTCGATCCATTACCCTTAGCACGAACCAATATCGAATTCGAATAATTGAATTCGATTTCGATACGCGTCAAATGTCAAGAAGTTTTTTATGGAAGATTTCTAATACTCTTTGCGTACCTACGTTGTGTCGTTGTTCATATTTCCATACAAAACTTCTTGACATTTGATGCGTATCCAGATCGAATTTAACTATTCGAATTCTCTATTGGTTTGTGCTAAGGGTACAATGTCTATGGTTATAATAGGTATAATACTATATGGATTACTTGAGACCGGGACTTCATCTGCGTCGTTCAATTGATTTCCCATATAAACTTTCACTTCCCTTTCGACATCTTTAAAGGATGACTTCTGGGATAAAAATTAGCCTATATCCTTTCCTGGGACTCAAACTCTATAAAAACGTTAGTACGATAAATACGAGCATTTGTACCTTAGTCGAGGATATTTATACATCTTTATATATATAATTCTTCTGTGAGTGTGTATGTCACTGAACTTCTCTTAAACGACTGGACCGATTTTGATGAAATTTTTTGTGTGTGTTCAAGGGGATCTGAGAATGGTTTAGATTCACAATTTTGTCCGCTGGACAACCCCTATTTTTTTAGGGCGGTACGAAGTTCGCTGGGTCAGCTAGTATTTCTATATAAATATACTTGAAGTAGGTACGTATAAAATATATATATTCTATCCGTTACCCTAGCATCCCATAACACCAATGCTTATTTTGGGAATATAAAGACATTTATTTTCTGAAAAGAATTTACAAAAAATCCACTTACAGAGAAAGTGCAAAGACATAATTAAAATATATATATATATTACATTGTGTCGACCAACAATTTAAAAATGTAGGTAGATTAACAAACAAAAAAAAACAATTTAGTCTCTGCGCATAGGAACAGCGGAGACACATAAAGGCAATGACACAGTGCAGGACATTGTGGTGCGACCATTCTTACATAGAAACACATATAACAAAAAATACGTATCATTTAAGTATCTAACATAGATCAAAAATTTTATTATATTATTAGTAAGGATAAACTCACGTGTCCCCAACAGGCAGCCGCGTGGACAGGCTGCCACATATCGTGGTCTACTACATCTGTAGAAGCACGGTGCTCCAATAGAAACTCCACCACCTTTATGTAGCCGTTCGCTGAAGCTATGTGTAGCTGAAACAATAATAAATAGATTTATTTCTGGGATAAAACATACATACATCATTATAACAGTTGTGTTTATCAGGCATTTAACAAACAAACATTACAAACATATTGCTTCAATCACTATTCTTGATAATAGTTACCAGCATTGCTGTACCTATTAATGAATCCCTCAAACTTTTATTATAACTCAATCACGCCTTTGGAGAAATGATTGTCGAACTCTTTTAGCTGTCTCTGAATTAGACATGAAAATTTCTCAAAATTAACGAAATCGTAGATTTTTTTTTTTTTTTTTTTTATTCATTAATAGGTAAGCGCTTGACCATAATTCGCCTGATGGAAAGCAATATTATGGTCTACGATGGAGCGCGCTTACCTAATAAAAACCGGTTCACTCTTGCTTTGAAGACCGCTAGATTGCGCTAGATAGCGCATAAGTTAGATAATTAAAGTTAGACAGGGACTAATAGATAATCGAATACACAAATGATTGCGTCGATGCAATCATTATAAGAAGCACACCTCAGAGCTCAACGGCGCAGCATCAGCGCTTTCGATCTGCGATCGTGGAAGTTATACGAAATTCTCAATGGTCGGCCGTCGGATGGGCGAACAAAAATTTATTATCTTGTGCTTCTTCGTGCTTCTCCAAATGTATGTACAGCACCCACGAATCTGCCCTAGACCCGTGTTCATGGCCATTTCTCCTTGAGCAATCCATAGGCAAGTCTGTACAGTAGCAGTGGTGACAATAATAGGCTGATAACAGCTAACTTAGAGATATAGAGCTTTAGGTCACACATAAAAGAAGCAGACGAATGAAAATTAAGATGTCCCTGTCTTTTCTATACGTTTTCAAGGACGCGGAAGATACATTGTGTCTGCGCCCCGTCTGCTGCTACGTCTTTTCCGTCTGTCCCGCACATTGGATTCTTCGAAAGAGGCGTGAAGAAGTGTCACAGGACCTGTACCCTTAGCACAAACCATTATCGAATTCGAATAGTCCAATCTGATCTCGAAACACGTCAAATGTCAAGATGTTTTGTATGGAAATTTGAACAGCGCCACAATTAAAAATGCTCCATACAAAAGTTCTTGACATTTCACGCGTATCTAGATCGAATTCAACTATTCTGCTTACTGTTCTATCTACTGTTACCCTGAACTCATCCTCTAAGCCTAAACTGTTTTTGCCGACTTTACTCATTGCAAGAACACAACATAAGTAAAAATAGGTACTGACTACCCGCCCTTCTGGGGAAGGAACTTTCATACGGATGACTTTTTTGTAGACGAATGCGACCTTAAAAACCACAACTCCAAGTAGAGGACGAAACGGTATGTTCCCATTTTTCGGGCAGCATGCTAATCCGAAACCGTTTTTTTTTTTGTTAAAAAAGGGTTATGGCTGAAGTCTTTTGTAAGATATGTTACATGTTTTCCCAGCTCCCATAAACATTTTAGTTTCAATTATTAAACATTTTTTGCGGGAAGTTTGAAGAAAGTTTATTATTTTCTTCGTCATACAAAATTCAAAATAAAATTATCAAGTTTCTTTGATTGCAGTTTATACTTATTTTAGAACGAGGCACCATTCATTTAAATATCTTCAACATTCGCGAGTAGTAAGCAGTTACAATTAATTTATTAGCATCAGGCGTGTTATTGTTCATCTATGGCTGTCTCAGCTCTGTCGCCTTGAATTTAAATAATTCATCATGTCATCTCACGATATAGATAAAGTGTGATGTTATTCAGGTTCACGGTAAACAAGTATGCATTGTGTTATCTAACGTTTGGAAAATAACGTTAAAGTTATCAAAGAAAAGATCAATGGACATTGCACTTTCTTGGGATAATACAATTTCTTTTCATGTCCAAGGAAAAGATAAAGTTGCTTTACTTTATTCAACTTCCTCTGAAACAAAAGGTAAACACAAAAACCAATGTTTCTGAAACTTTTTTATCGAGTGTAAGCCAAATATGACAGGTGTAACCAGATTAATTACATCTCAAATTTCAACGTAAATTATTTGCTTTATCACTTCTTTAAAAAGTAGTGTAACTTTTTATTTCGAGGTAGTCGTCGTTCGTCTTCAAAGTTTGAGAATAGCTGCAGTTTTAGGTTTTTTTTTATGTAATTATGTAATTTTTCTTCCATTATGTTTTTATATGCATATAAAATTCGATGTACAAAAACCTTTTTCTGGTTTGTTTAACTTTTTTCTCAGAGGAAGTTGAATAGAGTATAGTTAAAGGAAAGGCAATCAGTCATCATTTATTTATGAACCAGTGTCGTCAGTTTACTCCCACTTTGCCACGCCCTTCGCTATGCCCATTTAAAATACTCATTGTTTTGTACCGCAAGAGTGGCATAAACAAACATGCGATCAGCCTCATGGTAAAGGGCTACCGCCTCTAGAGATATAAAGAAAAACATGGACAGTTGCTGCTTCTAAAAGTATTAAATCAATGGGTAAGTCACTTTTGTATAAATTACCTATAAACAAGTACCTTAGAATTATTAACCTAAATGTGACGTCGTTTACATGTAACAATGGGAATCGCTTTAATGCTGCTCCCGCCACCCGCAAGCTTCGCATTTAAACCATCATACTGTAAACCTATAATAACTCGGCAAGCTCTCAAATAAAAATATAAAATTCCTCTGCTAACGATATCAGACGTCACGCTTTATTAGCTAATCAAAATTAATCACCCCGCTGCATTGTGAATAAAAAGGCAAACTCACCAAGGTAGCGCCCTGATTATCCCTGGGCTCGTCGAGATCCATGCCTTCCTTCACTAATTCTGCGACGTCCATCAGCATTTTCATTTCTGTAGCCGCCCGCGTTTCGTCTATCAATCGCTGCGTCACGCCTCTAGCCGCCATTTCGCTTTCTATAGCGTCTAAAGTCCGTTCTTCTTCGCAAATATCGTATGGCATGTTTCCGTCTCCGTTGACAGCTAGCAGATTGGCACCGCGCTGTATTAATATGCGGACAAGGTTGAGGTTGCCACAGGTGGCAGCAGCGTGGAGTGGTGTCCATTTCTCGCTGTCTTCTGCGTTTACGTTCGCGCCGTGGTCGAGCAATAGCCGCATCATCGCTTCGTTGTTGTCGATGCAGCACTGGTGTAGGGCGGTCAAGCCGTCTTCGTTGGTGGCGTCTGGTGTAACACCGCGCGCTAAGAGTCGACGCACTGAAAGGTATAATCATTTAAAATTAGATAGTTCTAATTTAATAAGCAAACACTTCTTTGGAACATATTTAAAATTTAAGTGCTCATTCTAAAAAGGGGAGGGAAAATAAGAGGTTCGGAAGACACGTTAAGCTGTTGGTGGAGGTTGCATCTGCAGTCGTTAGCACCCATCAACGCGCATTGGGCTCACTTGGTGAGTGGGGTATGGCCTAATCTCCCTGTCCCATCCGTAGGGAAAGCCTGTAACCGAGCTTTGGAGATATTAATAGGCTAATGATGTTGATGCATGTTCATAAAAATTCATATCAATCAGGTTTTTTTAAAGAAAGATCCACAGACTCTTGGCCGTCCATAAGCATATAATATCGGAGAGCCAAAGTAGCTCAGAAAAAGTGCGTTTACTTCAAAATTTTTGGACCACTTTTCGACTATTTCTTGTTATCCAATTCAGCTGAAAACTTGCATTCTTAAAGCGGGCCGCACACTCGACTTTCAATTGTATTATGATAATTGTGGCGCCACATTTGAAACGCTACATGTTTAACGCCTTCAGGTATCTGCTTGTAAGCACGCACACCAAGGACACATTTGTAGCGGGTGCATTTGCGTGCAAAAATATAGCGTGTATATTGGGGCAAGTTAAATGTTGCTTTGTGGCTCCGGTGTGCGGCCCCACTAAGTAGAGCACTTGGAAGGTGGCCATAGAAACTCTGTAATAAAACGACACAATCCCATCGAGTTTGGGCTCGTTTGATTCGTCTTGACGAGTACTTTAGTCGTGTCTGATGATGAAGATCATTGAGCCCGGATCACACAGCACCGAGGAAATTGGCGCACCATGCAGGAGACCAATGCCCAGCAGCGGGTCGATAAAGGATGAAGAAAAGAAGAAGATGGAATGTGGTCATACATATTTATAATAAAGTGACGTAACTAAATCACGTTTTGCCCAAACGTTTAGTTTTAAGTGTTCGTAAACCTTTGATTAGTCTTGATGAGTACTTTGTGCTTAGGAAATATCCCCATGCAATCTATCAGATTTGGAAAAATATATATATACATTTATGAAATAAAAGCGTATTTTTTGTCTGCAAGAGAATAAGAAGAAAAAACGTACAAATAAAATTGTGTTAAATTGTGTTAGTTAAATTATTTTTAACTTTTTAGTCAGAACCACTGTTTAAACAGTTTTTTTTTTATTTAAAAGTTGTTTTTTTCGTTTCTTTTCTTTGCTTGGGGTCCATGGAATTTTGAAAGGAGTCCATGACTGCTGTGCAGTTTGGGTGCCGGGTGACTCTAATGTTCGATGAAATGACCTTAAAGACGAAATACAATGTACCTACCTTCCTCGATGTCGTTTCTGGCAGCCGCCTCCAACAGCATAACGCTATCATTGAAGTAGATGTTACGCTTGGTGCTCTTCTCGCGCTTGGCCCGCGAGCGCGCCCACTCCTTCTCGCGCTGCTGCCATAGTTTTAGCTGCTGCATTCGGCGTCTGAAATCAATACAATAAATAGAAGAATTAAAATTAGTGCACATATACTCTGCTATCACATCTTCCCTCATACAACGTTGCTTAACTACATTAAAATGAACCCACAAAACAGGTTACAACGAAATGAGAAAATTCTGCAACCCAACTCAAACTTTTATCCTAACAACTTATGTTTCGCTTTTCCCAACCAATATATGTGTCCGGCTTTGCTTTCGATCACGTGGCACTCCTCACTCAGTATGCGTGAAACAGAAATAGAAGATAGTGTCCGGCCCGGTCCAAAGCATCTTAAAGCCCGGTTTTGTGTTCAAGAAGTTCCTACTTGTAGATACCCCAAGCATGACTAACTAGCGAAAAAGTATTCGTATCACCATCGTCAAAGTTTGTATGGGAAGACCTAGTTTAGAGCTACTTTGATATGGCGATACGAATATTTCTCGCTATAGCCTTACCTTTTGGCTATGGACTCCCTCATTTTCACAATTTTACAGAAAAGGCATATTACTCGTATCTAATGCATTTTACATTAGAGAGTTGAGTGTAAGGTCAATTAGGGTTAAGTAACTTTTCTGTTTTATTATCTATCCCTTGGCACCAAACCGGCTTCAAGGGTTTCATATGACAAATATATATTTCTTAAAGTAACGAGTAAAGTTTTCACAGCTCAAAGGACTTTTATAACCGGGTCAGGGTCAACAACGCATGATTTCTACTCCCAATGTAGCAAAATACGTAGCATTGAGCTCATACCATATTATGCGTGACAAATTAGTATCATATTTTAAAAGCAACTATCCTTATAATAAAAGTAGATATACGAATATAATGTCGTACAACTACAAGGTGAAACGTATTCTACTCTCAATTACATCATTGCATTTTGCCAGCCCACCGCCTACAAATAGTTGGAAGTTCCTTTTTGAAACTATCCTTTGCCGTAGAGATAATAGGTACTTATCTGTTGAAATGAAAATAAAAAATTCTAATTCTATTACTTGAAAAGTGGGTAATGTAACGTTTTTATGTTTGTATCAAAGCATTCGTGTATTGTATGTATTATATTATAAATAAAGAAGCAGCGCATCCATGCCAAAAAATCTAAAAATAACTAAAATCGCTTTTATCCGATCCTACTATTACAAAAACACCGTTATTATTATTTCCATTTCGAAAAATAAGTGTTTATTTAGGTTCGACATTCGCCTTTAATAATAGTGTCTAACATAAATATTTCCAGTGTAACCATAACATACTTACATGCTTGATCAAAGACGGATAAATACCCATAACACGTAAGTTTCAACAAATCGCCATAAAATTCAGAATCATGTCAACAATAACATACTTCAATAGAAAAGAAAATATTTTGAGTAAGTATATTTTTTACTGCTTTATTCCGATTACATTTAACATGGATATAACACGAAAATGAATGATGGCAGTAAACATCGTGTAAACATTATCGGGTAAACATCCAAAGGAATTCGTCGGTGTTGAACGGCGTCGGAGCTCTGATACACAGTTTATTACTTGCCTATGCGCCGTTTTGTGTGCTTTTTGAGATTACTGTGAATTACAACTTAGATTAGGCTCTTTTGGCTGCCGGCCGCATCAGACTATTTTCATGGTAGTCCTTCCTTTTTGATCATAAATTCATTTAGCCTTTTTATTAAATTCTTTCGTGTATAAACGTATTAGTAGTAGCTAGCTAGCTAATATTTTAGTTTTAATTTCAATTCGCTACACTATGTATAAAAAAACAAAGACCTTTGAAGAAGCCGAAAACTTCTCTTCAATATTTTTTACATTCTGCAGACGACAAGTTTTATTGGATGTCTTAATGGTGTTAATACATAATATTTAAAATTTAGATAAAATTTAAATGCAGCCTATAATATATCCGCTAAAAACTAAAAATACTATGGGGGCTAAAACAAAATCAATGTAGGGATACGTATACAAATAAGGAATTTAAAACCGCCCAAATGCAAGCACTTATTATGATTAATAAATGACAACACACCGACTAGAAACAAACCTATAATGTCCAAATTAACATGATTTTATTTTATCATTCATATGCCTTACCTTTTTTCACAACTAACACTTTAAAATTAGATTAAATCAAATAAATTACTTCTAACGAAGAGGCTCTTCACCAACAAACACAAGTAGTACAAGTGCTCTCGGGCGACCGAGCGAATTTGAATACAACAACTCAAATTAATCTAAATAGCAATATACACTACAGTTGGAGATACATCTTTCAGCAACCTTGTGTTGGTCGTGCCCCGTTGATTGGCGCCAGTCAATTGCTGACCAAACATTATAAGTAAGTATAAAATCAAGTTCTATATTGATACAATTGATGCTCAATTGCGTGAAGACCTGCGTGGTGAGCGCGTTGGATATGACGCCCATCAATATTTCTAATGAACCGAAGGGATGATGACTGATGACTAACTTTTTTTTCTTTGACTATCAAAAATTACTGGGCACTTCCTATTTTTTCACGTAGCCAAAACTTTAATATATATTTCTAATAAAAAATATTTCCAACACTCACATCAATTAGCCTAACGCCAAAGTAAGCACTGTAAGGCTTGAGTTATAAGATGTAACGGATAGAATACAATACATATACTGTACATATATAAGTATGTTTATATAGAAATACATATTAAACACACTGGAGTACAAATTACTCCAGTCATAGACTTTTACTCGTATTCATCACACAAACATCAGACCCCACCGGGATTCGAACCCGGGATCTCTCACCATGAAACCCGGCGTACAAACCACTCGGCTACGGAGGTCATTATTTTTCAGAGATATATTGATTTTAAATATCACATGACGTCACGTCTTAGTACATTTTTACTAAGCAGTATCGTCTCGTCCCCCACCCATAAACTTCGACACGCTTTTGTTTTGTAATTTTTTATATATTTACGAAAGAAAAAAAAGTGGCCATTATTTTAGTGATAATCTAACTGACGTACTAAATAGAATTTCCTTTACTTTACCCCGTCATCATCCCTTTTTTGTACCTGCTGAATAGTAAGGAAAAATAATTTTGTCCGGTTGACGCCGCCGGCCCTGCTCATCGTCAATGTGTGATCGCAGTGTTGCATGTCGTTGTCAAACTATCGGAAATGGAATTGTATCACAGAACTGCGATCTTCGTTTTAGAAATGACATACTTAGGTGTTCGTATCGATAGAAAACTATTTTTTTTATTTCCTATATCTGGGTCACTTCGGTATATTGGTAGTCCCCTATATCATCATCATCATAGCAATAACATGATTCTGTCTCAAATAATTTAAGAGCAAATCTTTAACATGTGTGTATGTTGCGAACTAGTTTCTTTTGTCTTTCTATGGCCTAGATAGGGGGAGCTATTGGCCATTCGTGTCGGCATATTTTCTAGCTTAGAACCAGTTTAGGTCCAACGAGAATCAACCACGCGCCACTATAGTGATTGATAGTGATATCTATATGCTGGCCAAAGAATCTCTTCATTGTCACCTGTTATCACATCAATGCATCCACGCTGCAAACTAAACTTTTAATACTGACACGAAAATATTTCCCGATTATAAACAAAATTAAAATTGTAGCAGTTAAAAAAATTCAGTTAGTAACTAAATCAGTTTTCCAAAATTTCAACAATACCAAATCATACATTTTTGACCTCACCAAATCATAAATTAGTATTCTTTTTCATTTACAGGGTTAGAAACTGCTGCTGGGAGATGATCACTTCGTACCATCACTTGCAATTCTTCAACGGCACATCAAATACAGACGACCTCCGTGGTGGTGTGGTGAGTACACCGGTTTTCGAGACGTGTCCTACTTAGATGTCCTGAATTCGACTCCCAGTGGGGATCATACTTAATTAGTAAATACGAATCGATCAACACCTTGATCGTCAAAATAGATCCAGTAGCTAAACAGGTGTAAAATAGGGTTTAACATACAGACATATGACCTAATTTTATTACGATCCTCCAATCGTAAAAATTTGACAACAGCCTTTCTCTCTTCTTTTCATTATCTATAGAGGATTATAAGAATATACTACTGTTTTAGTTTACAGAACATACTTATTTGCTGTAAAATTTAGAGAATCGTATCGGAACGCCTCCGCCCACTTGGCTTGGCGTGACTATAGACAGACATATATATTATATCATAAACCTACTCTTTGCCGTAGTCGGTTAACAAATACCCAATACAGCAATCCTCGAATGTTTATAAACAAACCTACTTTTTTTTATTATAAAGGACCTAACAAAAGACCCCACCCCACTTGACGTTAACTGACGGTGGAGGTGACCTACCTGAGTTAATTAAATAAATTACAAGTAATTATGTGTCAACAGACTTTAAGCTTTTATTGTTTCACGGTTAATCCCATATGGGATACAGCGACCCGTCACGCGATCATAAAAAGTGAAAACAAGGTTTCACTTTCCATCAGACGCAGATTTTATTGTTTCATAATGTTTTTAAGTGCGCAAGATTGCGCATAGGGTCGCTATAACGATCGCGATCAACTCTTACAATGTAATAAGAGACAGAACTTTTAATCCTATATTTAACAGAAATAATTTCAAAAAAGAAATAAATTCAACTTTTTAGTAAATATTCATCTTTAGGCTAGCATTCTACATAAAATACCAAAATTTCAGTTCTGTAACTCATTCCCTTTACGATCTAGACTTCAAGAGACTCGTGCGTGACATATGAACAGACAGATTCTATTTTTACCCTTTAGGTACGGAACCCTAAAAGTAACTAAATTTCGACAGGTCACCAACCAGGTGGGGGTGCAAATCGTAAGTGGCCCGAGGTGCCACATTTTAAAATAGGGGTCTCCACTATATCATTGCCCCAGGGCCTCCACACCTCTAAATGCAGCCCTGCCAGCCCCAGCTCTACGCGAAAAAAACACGGACGAGGAAATTGTGGATTGTTCAAACCCTTCA